GATGGGGAGGAAGGGATGGGATGGGATGAGGCGGGACTGGGATTGGGGTGGGACGGTGGGAAGATGGGGAGGAAGGGATGGGATGGGATGAGGCGGGACTGGGATTGGGGTGGGATGGTAGGAGAGTGGGGAGGAAGGGACAGGATGGATGGATGGATAGGGTGGGGTGGGGTGGGATGGGATGGGATGAGGTGGTTGGGGTGGGGAGGGTTGGATGGGATCAGGATGGACAATGGGAACAAGGATGGGATGGGTGGGATGGGAAGTGGTGGGTGGGATGGAATGGGATGGGGATGGGATAGGAGGAGGTGGAAAAGAGGATGGGATGGGGATGGAACAGGAGGGACGGGCGGGAGGGGATGGATGAGGTGGGACAAGACGGGAGAAGGTGGTTGGGGTGGGGAGAGCTGGGTGAGATTGGGGTGGAGACGGGAGGAAGGATGTGGAGGGATGGGATGGGGTGGGGATGGAATGAGGTGGGATGGGGCAGGATGTGCTCCGGGTGGGAGCCACGGCTCCGTCCCTGCTCCCGCAGGTCGTGATCGTGATCAACGCGTCGGCGCCGCCGCAGTCGCTGCAGAACGAGCTCAAACCCGAGGAGATCGAGCAGCTCAAGGTGGGGGGGTCTCAGGGTGGGGGTCAGGGGTCCTGGGGGGCTCAGGATGGGGGTCAGGGAGTCTGGGGGGGCTCAGGGTGGGGGGCTCACCCCTCTCTCCCCCCAGGTTTGCATGAGCAAGAGATACGACGGGTCCCGGTGGGCGCTGGACCTCAAGAGCCTCCGCGTCGACCCAGGTGAGTCTGGGGGGCTGGGGGGGCTTTGGGGGTCCGGGGGGGGCTGCAGGAGCTGGGCCTGACCCCCCCTGCTCCCCCTGTCCCCAGACCTGGTGGCCCAGAGCATCGACGTGGTGCTGAACCAGCGCAGCTGCATGGGCGTGGTGCTGCGCATCATCGAGGAGAACATCCCCGAGGTGAGGGCTGGGACCCCCAAATGAGACCCTGCTGGGACCCCTGGCACCCTGCTGGGACCCCCAG